TAAGTTGGAGTCTCACTCTGTCGCCCAGACTGGAGTGCAGTAGCCACTCCGGGCCACTGCAGCCTCGACCTGCTGGGGACTCCGGTGATCCTTCCGTCTCAGCCTTCCAAGTAGCTGGAACTACAGGCGCACACTACCACGCTCAGCTAACTTTTGATTTATTGTAGAGATGAGGTCTCGCCAAGTTGCCCAGGAGGGTCTCGAACCCGCGGGCTCAGGCAATCCACTCACCTCAGTCTCCCAAAGGCGCGGGATTGTAGTCTGAGCCACTGAGCCCGGCTTTAAATAAATTTCTAAGTTGCAAAATGGGGCCCAAGCTAATGAGAAATATTGATTAGGTAATGACTGGTGCACAACACTGATAGAAATTATAAGAATGGGTTGGGCTCAGTGGCTCAGCCCGTAATCCCAGCACTTTGGGAGGGCGAGGTGAATGGATTGCCTGAGCTCATGAATTCAAGACCAACCTGGGCAACTTGGCAAGACCTCATCTCTACAGTAAATTTTTAAAAAAATTAGTTGGGCATGGTAGCATGCACCTGTAGTTCTGGCTACTTGGAAGGCTGAGTCGGAAGGATCGCCGGAGCCCAGCAGATTGATACTAGGGTGGCTGTGAGCGTGCCACTGCACTCCAACCTTGGTTATGGAGTGAGACTCCAACTAAAAGAAAAAAGAAAGAAAAGAAATTATAAGGATAGCACATACAGAATTAAAGTAGGTAAAGTGTTATGAGAATGGGTGCAAATCCCTACTTCGTGTCTACTAGCTGGTTGACTAAGGCAAATGCCTTAACCTCTCAGTGCTTCAATTCCTTTATCTGGGTCAAAGGAGGATAAATAACAGCATCTACTTCATAGAATTAAATTAGCAGAATAAATGTAAAGCACTTGTCCCAGTGCCTGGTGCATAGAAAATGCTCAACAAATGCTAGGTGCCATTATCCTGGAAAAAAGAACAGAGAATGCTTGTTTAACATCATTTAAATCACCAATGTGCTCGGGCTGGAAACATGAAGTCCTGTCTGTCCCCTTGCACCCTGTTTTTTTTTTTTGGAGTGAAAGAGAAAAACCAAACATGGAAGAGGCAGGGGTTACAGCATCACGGATATGGGGCAAGAGGCATGGGAACAGAGCAGCAGCCATGGTAGACTACAAGGTGAGTGGCAGGCAATGGAAGACAAGACACAAGGGACAAAAATCGAAGAGGGACAACAAGGTGTGGGGTTGACACCCCTGAGCCTTCAGGATAAAGATCCTAAGTGAACATGGCATGAATCTCCTGCCCAGGATTTTATAGGGTTAAAAGTGGGGGCCTAGCCAGACATGGTGGTTCATATCTGAGCTCAGGAGTTCGAGACCAGCCTGGGCAATACAGCAAGACCTCGTCTCTACAAAAAATTTTTAAAATTAGCCAGGTGTGACAGCATGCACCTGTAGTCCCAGCTACTCAGGAGGCTGAGGCAGGAGGGTCACTTGAATCAAGGAGGTCGAGGCTTCAATGACCCAAGATTGTGCCACTGCACTACAGCCTAGGCGACAAAGCGAAACCTTGTCTCAAAAAGAAAAAAAAGTGGGGACTGAATGTAGAAGGGAACAGGCCCACTTTCATGACACCACCATGATGAGCACGTCTAGAAAGAACTATCTTTGACTGAATCATTGATTTCTCCTCTTTTCAGAAGCTGAGACAGGTCCTCTTCGGAAATGTGGTCCATGTCTTCAGCTATGACTGGAAAAAGGCCTATTTCAGGTTCCACGATCCTTTTTCTGACCTGGCTTTCGCTTTGGAAATGGGAAAGGTAATAGCCAGCTTGTAATTTTTAAAAAAATCTTACTCGCATGTTCTTTATTCTTGTTTCCTATCTTGTCCACGTCTATGTGAATGCATGCTCTCATTACAATCCTCTGGAGAACCCCATTTATAATTTAAAGTTTAACCTTAAATGATAACAGACTGTTTAAAGTTACTACATACTGTCTGGATTGCAACAAATCCCCAAGCTCCTTTTTCTCCCCATTTCCCTCCAGATTCTAGTTTTCCTATCTCTTCTTTTGGATTCAGAAGGCAGGGGATCTAGGAATTTCTTTCTAGCTTATTTGAAACATCAATAATTCAGGCCATCAATCACCAATCACACCTAAATTCCAAGGGCCAGCCAGTTGGTTCCTTGCCTCCTAGGAATCTAAAAGTCTGACAGGAAGCAGGGGTCTGGTGAAGGCAGGATGGGGGAGGACATAGATCCCTGATAACCAGTCTATGGGGCTTCTCAGAGAGCCAGGCATTGCAGAGTCCAGCCTGGCCATGGCACCCAGTCAGAGGGGCAGGGAGGGGTGGCACATGAATAGCGCAGCATCCTCACTAAGCCCTAGGGGATGTCAGGAGAGAAAAGAATGAAGAGAAGAACAGATAACACCACCTATTTTCAAGAGTTCTTTTTTGTGACGTTGGCCCACGTGGTTCCCCAACACTTGAGTCTCCCTCTTCCTCCTCCCCTTTCCAGGGAGGTGCCCGCAGCATTCAGATGGCTGTGCAAGGACACGTCGTCAAGTACTTGTTGTTTACCAGGAAGGGCAAAGACAGGTAAGAGGACTGTGAGAGGTACTTGGATGAGTTACCCCTCTCACTAGAGCCTGCACATGTGAAATAATAGCAACTGAAAAAATTAAGGTAGCCTCAGGAAGGAAATCTTCCTCCTAAGACAGAAATGGCTCTATTTCTCTCAGGGAGGCTGTGTCTCGCTGCTTGGAAGGGCTCCACATGGGTCACTCTCAATGTTCAGTGGCAGGGATTATGTTGACAGGTTTTATGCTCTACTGCAGACCACCCTGCCAGGCAGAATTAAACTCCAGGTCTCAGGTGAGCTTACTTGTCCAAATTTGATGGGAAGTCCTAACCTGACAATTCTAGGGAGGAACAAAACGGGTGATAATAAAACCAATAAATAAAGGAACAATCCTCCTATCTAACTAAGCAGACAAGATACAATGTTTGACAGTTGCCTATTTTTAAAAATCAGCTTAAATGTATTCAAATTTACTTTAGAAGTTAATCAATCCTTCACATAGGCAAAACTGTATGCTAGATATTAGAGGAAATAGAAATACATCTGCTCTTAGGCAGGAGATATCCCCAAATAGACCTAAATGTATAATATATTATTTTTATCACCTTCTGCTGTTTTTTTTTTTTAAGTCAGGTCTCACTCTGCTGCCCAGGCTGGAATTCAGGGGCTGGGTCATAACTCCCCACAGCCTCCATGTCCTTGGGCTCAGACAATCCTTCCACCACAGTCTCCCAAGTAGCTGGAATGTGCTACCACACCTGGCTAATTTTTTAATTTTTTTGTAGCGGCCAGGTTTCCCTATGTTGCCCAGGCTGGTCTCAAACTCCTGTGCTTGAGCGATCTTCCTTCCTCGGCCTCCCAAAGTGCTGGTATTACAGGCATGAGTCACTGCACGTGACCTTTATATTCTAAGATAATGAATTGCCAGATTCCCTAGAAACAGAGCCTGTGGTGTGAATTCTTTATACACTTTATTTATTAAGGGAGAGCCCTCAGAAGAAACCCATAAGGGAGTGAGGGAAGCAAGATAGGGAAAGAGAAGCTAAGGAAGAACGTGACTCTAGCGAAGTCTGATGCCAAGAGGCATTCAGGAGTGTGAGCACTGCCCTGGGAGCCTGCCCCGTCTTCAGATCTCCCAACTTGCTGGCCAGCCATTGTCTGTGGGCCCTCCTTGGGGGGTGAGGGGAGCATCGCTCCTAGTCACCATGGGGCAAGTAGGAACCACTATCGCAGTCCCCAAAGCAGCTGGGGAACGAGTCCATGAGTAAAATGGACCCAGGGCATCCAGATGAAACCCACACAATGCTTGCCACATCAGTGTAAAACACTCAGCACAGCACTGTGCCTGGCCTGTGCAAACAGTACATAACCGTGCATGAGTACCTGCTCCCCTGGACAGGCTGGGTGAAGCCTGCCTGAGCCCTCCCAGTCACGTGGTCTGGCTCCTTCCCTGTGCTCGCCCAGCACTTTGTCTTATTCACAATCCACCTCGCATCAGTTTGTGAGAACGAGGCCCCTTGCTGCTCATTCCTCTGCCTCCGCGGAGCTAGGCCGGTTGTACAAATCGTAGCCGAGTTTGTTAATAAATCTCTATCACCCATTTCTTTATAAAGACTACAGTTGTCAATGTTCGATATCTAGAAAATGAGCAGAGGCAAGGTCTCCCATGTAAAGACCGGTTCCACTTACTGAGAAGGATGGACGGACCCTGAGCCTGCTCGGTGCTGGGCATGAGTGACAGCGGGACTTGGGGCCAGACAGCCAGGGGTTGAATCCATGCTCTATCACTTTGAAGATGAATGACCAGAGACGAGTTACCTCACCTCTCCATGTCGTGCTTTCCTCACCTCTAAAACGGGAGGAACACAATAAATGAGGTGATAGGTGGGAGGGGCCGGGGCGCAGTGAGTGCCGGCCTGGTGTAAGCTTGGACCGCTTAGGGTGACATGAGATAGACCTTGGGTGATGCGTGGGAATGACAGACATCGGCACTAAGGGCACACGTGCATGAGAACAGCCATGGGGGTGAATATGAAGGTATGTTCAGAGGACTGGTCCCTCTGGGGAAGACAGCTTACAAAATGGAAACCTGAGATCAAACGACAAGGATTTGAACTACAGGCTTGAAACAGGACTGTTTTATTGGGTTGGAGAGTGAATCCATCCTTGCTGGAGGTCAGGGGAAAGAACAATGTTAGGACTCCTGGAAGTGACAAAGCACAGGGTGGGACTGGCTGAGATCACAGCAGAGAGGAAGGGGCCTCCAGTGACAGTCTCACACGGTGGGGTGATGAAGGGACCAAGTCGACGCCCCTATATTCAGAGGAAGATTAAAACTGGAGGCTGCAGCACATGGCTAAGTGCTGCTTTGTTCCAGCGTTTGCCTTTCCCCACCTGCATTATAGTTTACGTGACATAAGCAAGCAGGAACAGGAGAGAGCCCTGGCCATGGTGCTCGCTGACATCCTGTGGGCTTCAGGAGCCGCTCAGAAGGCCACCATCTGTCTTGTCTCTGAGGACACTTACGTTGTCTCGACTCCTGACTACTGCGGGGACAATTTCACTGAGAGGGTAAGTGCTCGCCTCCCCGTCCTGCCAGATAAAAGGCCAATGAAGGCTGAGAGTGTTGGTTCATACCTGTAATCCCAGCACTTTGAGAGGCCAAAGCAGGAGGATTGCTTGAGCCCAGGAGTTCCAGACCAGCCTGGACAACATAGTGAGACCTCATCTCTGCAAAAAAAAATGTTTTAATTGAGCCAGGCATGGTGGTGCACACCTGTAGACCCAAATACTTGGGAGGCTGAGGTGAAAGTATCGCCTGAGCCCAGGAGGTCGAGGCTGTGGTGAGCTGTGATCATGTCACTGTACTCCAGCCTGGGTGACAGAGTGAGACTCTGACTCTAAAAAAGAAAAGCCAGTGAAGCTTGACACATACTAGACTTACCATGGAAATGAGCTAGAGCCCATTAGTGCTACTGATGTGACCAGAGGCACCTTCCAAAGACACAAGCACCAGCCGGGCTCGGTGGCTCAGCCTGTAATTCCGCGCCTTGGGAGGCTGAGGTGAATGGATTGCCTGAGCCTGCGGGTTTGAGACCCGCCTGGGCAGC